GTCGCCAATAGCAACCAGCTCGTCATGCTCCTTCAGGCCAGCTTTGCACGCTTTGCTGCGCCGGCGTACCTGAGAGAAGACAGGGATCAATAACATGTTCATACTGGTAGCTGAAGAAAACTGCTGTGAATATACACATTTATAAATTGTCTACTTTCCCATCTGACCTTCACCTTCCAATACTTATTAGCATTTATATTATTTATGACACTGATGTCTACAAGTTGTGTCCAAAGGGTTTTCCAGTCGAAGACATCTACTATTTCCCAAGAAATAAACACTTAGAATAAAGGAAGAATTACATAATTTATTGTGGCCTGATGTTATTTGTTATCTTGTTTTTCTTACAAGCCCTGTGGGAGCACAACCCCAATATTAGGAACCTCTGTTTTGTTGTTTTAAGTTTCACAAAATGTCCCACAAAACGTATTGTGAATCTCTTTAGTGCTAACTCCTATATTTTAACCGAAGCTTCTCAATATGATGTATTTTTTACTTGAAATAATACTTTGCTTCTGTTGTTGTCGTCAGGAACAGTTTAAAACTTAAGCCTGAATGATGAATATGTTGTGATATACATCACAGCAACAAATAAAGCTTTTTTCACATACATATTATTTTTTTAAGTGACTTTAAACATAGTGTCTTAGCAGCTTCCAACTACTAGTGATGGGGTCATACATGAATGAAATTACATTTTACAGTTATTTGAACTATTCATTCACACAGAGATTTTATTTGATGTCAAACTGATTTGAAAGTGGAAGGACTCAGGATTACATTTTGGTATTGCAGATTATATATTATTTCGGGTTTGCACCTTGTTGTTATCTTAGAGTTTATATTTGCACTTTAAGATTCATATTGACAGATTTTATTAAAGTTGTGGAGTTGTTTGCTCTTGATGCCAGCCCACTGTAAAAATACCCTCATCAAAGTGCACCTGCCACACTTTTTTGAACATTTACTAAATATAAAGAGAGAAAGTTTTTCTAAGCTTAAAAATAATGTAACTTAGACTTCTAAATGTAAATTCTTCTGAAATTGAGGTGGAACACTTTCCAAGGAATTTACGATAGATAATGTTTTATCTTATGTTATCCTAAAAGAAAATTTTAATAAAAGTTTTTTAGGGCTTTAAATCCTTTCAGTGGCAGTCATGCATATTTGTTACTTTAATGTTCTCCCTGTAAAAGTCCTACAGATTGACCTAAAGCTCCAATGTTTTTCACCCACAGCCATCCTTGCCCCCTGTATCAGAATAACTTCTGAAGTCATGCAGCTGTTCCTGGAGGTCGCTAAGAGATGATGTCATAGGATCCTTCAGGAAGTATGTCTGCGGGCGGTGGGTGATAAATGGGAAGAAAAGTATTCTTGTCCACCAGATTGCAGTTTCCTCTATTAGAAGAAGATAAAGCCTCTCAACCCCTCACATTTTCATACTAATAATACATACGGCTTATCTGCAAAAATGGAAAGTGTGTTCCCGCACCTACTTGGACTCTATTTGCCTTTATCGGTATCTCTTGACCCATTAATCACATAGCTGGCTCATAGAGCAAAGACAAGCTGCCTATCTTGTACTTTCCCACTCATACAAATGTACACACACACACACACACACACACACACACACACACACACACACACACACACACACACACACACACACACACACACACACACACACACACACACCACACACACACACACACACACACACACACACACACACACACACACACACACACACACACACACACACGTGAACTTGAAAGAGGGGGTTTTAACAGCTGGTCTCCACCGGGAGATGCCTGTCATTCGCCATATGTTCCCCACAAACCCAAAATAAAACCTGGCAGGAATATCAACAGACAAGAAAGAGAGGTGCTAATGTGATGGAAAACTGAAAATAAAACTAACAATTGCACCAATATTGGGCCAATACTGACTTACAAATACAGGAAATGTTTCAATGTTGGGCTCTGTGTGTGAACAAATGGCCTTTTTCTATTCTCAGCTTCCAACCCCTCTTAAAATAAGCAATTCTGATCCTCTAGTTTGTGCTCCATTCCCAAATGGGCTTATCTGAGGTATGCCCAACCACACACAACCACACAGACAGGTCACATATACACCAACACAATGAAGCACACACTGATCAAACTCATATCAAAGGTGACCTTATCTGCCTTAAAATCCTGGATAAAGAGAGGCCTATCGTGCCAAAGCCACTACTCCTCCATTTTGAATCAAAAGTTATGACAGCTCATGAGTGACCGGCCAACTTTTTGTAACGTCAGTGTGAGTGAGGTCGCATTCCTCCTCTCCAGAATAGATTTTCTTATTAGAGACTACATACTGGACTGTCAACAAACATAAACACAGACACAAAAAGCTTTTGGAAAAACTAAACTGGAAAAAAGGAGAATTTTCCTGGGGGCTTTAAATTGGATTATTATATCTAATAAATATGTGAGGATGACAGATCTGAAACAAGTTCATTATTGACTGGGTGTGTGTGTTCACAGTAGATACTGATAGTCTCTGATACTGCGTGATCGCATTAGGATGCAGTGATGAGTCCTTCCACTTTCAAATCAGTCTAAACATGTGTTCACGCTTTTACCCACAAACCCAACAGAATCACAAGAGAGTATTAAATTGGCTTTGACCAAAAGATCATGAGAACATTTGAGAATATGATAATTTTTCTGTTGCAGCGAGATGATAATTTTTGGTCAAAACGACTCAAATACCAGTAGAACAGTTCAATGTTCCTGAGTAACACTTACTTTCAAAGCATTTTAATGACTCATCAAACTAATCCCTCTCCATTTTACAGATGCTCTCCATAATACGGTACATTTTGCCTTTTAAAAACGAGCTAAAAACAAACAAGAAAAACATTTACTGACTAAAATGTGTGTGAAAGAACTAGATGATTACACTGACAAGATTTCTTAGTTTTTTTACACCCGAATATGAAAAATAAATATGAAGGCACCAAAATAAAGCCCAGAGGGACACCAATGAAATGAGCTACGAGTTCATTTATTCAGATTTTATGTTGACGATGAAGTTTCTAACCAACGCGTGGATTACAAACACAGCAAACCACAAGACCAAGACAAGGCCTCAGACCGCAATTAACAGCTGCAGTCTCCATTAAACCTGTCTACTCATGTTACCACCTTGGCAACAAGTCTTTTCTGCCTCATAATGTATGCACACGCACAAACTGTACCTTAGCCACCTGAAGAGGTTTCTGCTGCTCCGCTCCACCCTGCAGCCTGAAGCCCCACGGGGAGCCTCCAGCGAGGGACACCACAATCTCCTCAGCTACCATCCCAGCTCACAGCCTGCTGTGTGTGTGTGTATGATGGTGAATAAGTTGTTCTCCCCTTCCTCAGTTCCTCACACTCCTCAAGTATCAATGAGTGAGGTCTTTCTCTCGATCCTCTCTGTGACCACGGCAAATCTCTCCACCCACGGGGAGACAGAGGGAGGCTGGCCTTCATCTGCTACACTGGAATGCTGTGTCGGAGGGTGGGCGCTCAGGAGGGTGAGAAGGGGCAATAGTGTGTGTGTGTGTGTGTGTGTGTGTGTGTGTGTGTGTGTGTGTGTGTGTGTGTGTGTGTGTGTGTGTGTGTGTGTGTGTGTGTGTGTGTGTGTGTGTGTGTGTGTGTTCATCCTCTCTCACATTCAACACTTGCCATGTCACTCTCAGGCACTCTGCACAGGATGGGATGCTTGCTGATAAACTCTCCCAAAATAACCACCACCCCTCCCTCTTTGACCCTCAGCTCAGCCGATCAGGTCAGCGGCTACAGCTCGAATATTTGTCTTCGTCTACCCACAGTGCCCCAACCTTAAAGCACAGGGGGGGTGGTGGGGAGAAAATATTTTAGGAATTTCAGTTGTTTTTTATGTATCTATTGGCATCAGAGTGTTACTAGAGAGAGCTAACCTTTTAAGTTGTGTGTTGTTCCTTCAGCTGTCCCAAAATGTCATAAAAAAGTTCAGTCAATGGGGGAAAGTTATATCTTGGCAAGCTTTTCTGCTACGATAGGAAAAACAATGAATTCTGTTCATCAGCTTCATCACCTCTGATCATGCAGATTAAAGGCAGAGGATTGCAGAGTCTAGCCAGCCAAAATGACTTGGCCCATGTGCAGCTTAATTGTGTTAATCTAATGAAATTCGTACAGGTTTGTGATGAATGGCGCTGTAAAATAATTCCAAATTGGATCTGATTGCAAGGAGAGCTGGGCCCAAATTTGTCCCATTAGGTGGTTCAGTTTGCACCCCAAAATGTAGCCAAATGGCAGCCAGATATTGGCCTGGGATGATTTTAAGTTGTTGGTGAAGCTAGGCCCATTTCAGATGGCCACATCTTGTCACATTATAATTATTTGATAGATGACTGGAAGGATTAGCTATAGGCCTACTTGCTATGTGTGTCAATGGCAAACAGGTGTAAACCCACACGACGCTGGTATTGTTTGCACCTTGGGAGTATGTGTGTATTTTATTATGGCAAAATGTACTGCTTGAGACACCTACAGCAGGAACTGAAACATTTTTGAATACTTTGCTAGGTTCAGTCTATGGTTTTTATATGTCTGTCTCTCTGTGGACAGATGTTGTCACTTAGCATTGCAGCCGCAAGACGCAGTCACACAACTTTACTTGGTTACTTGAGTAAATGTATTTAATTATGTCTAATCACTGAAATATAATAGCCGATTAATTACATTTGTTTGCTCAGCTTTATTGTCCTTGTTCCCATCTGTTACGTCTATTTCTGTGTTAGAGCAATCAATGTAAACACCAGGGGTCAAATTCCTTAAGCTACACATACACATAGCCTACTTGCCACTGAAGGAGATTCTAATGACCTTCACACAAACTAGACAATAACACGTCGAACTCATACTTACTTTTATTTTAAACACCTGAGTTCATAGAAAAGCTTCCTTATAGTTATTCACCAGAGCGGAGCTCTCGGTAGGAGAGGTGAGTTTGGGGGAAGTCTCTCTGTCCGGATGTGGACGTGGCACAGCGCTGCAGCAGTTCCGCTGAATGTCCGCTTCTGATTCCGAGAAGGGATTAGTGAGAAACACCCCGGGACGACATCGACTTCACAGTTTGTCGGTCACCGGGTTTCAACGTTTGCTCCAAGCAGAGGATAGCCTTACACTTTACAACACTTTGGAGGTAGGTTTCGATATAAAACAAGGGAATGTGTGACATCCCTGCCCGGCTTGACGTGAGAGCTTGAATGTTGCTATGCTTGCTAATGCTAGCTACTGCTATGGCAGGGCTAGCATCGCTCTGCGAAATAGTTGGAGGTTACTAGCCTAGCTAAGCTAGTAGGCTAACATTAGCTGTCCCTGGTTGTGGCGATCTGGTCACAGCTGATTCAACCACTGCTGCTGTCATCATGATTCAAGCTGTGTGGTTGCTCACGTTAGCAAGCTTAGATAGCCCCCATGAATTACGGAATCAAATATGCCGTATTGTGTTTTGGTAAACCCCCAACAGTTAGCCACGGCTTGTTAACCAGACTCTGTTTTGAGGTTTTGGTTGACATAAGCTAAGCTAACCAGCTAACTGTACTGCGGCACTGGGGTTGTTCCCGTTAGCACACTGCTAGCTTTCCTCAGTTTGGCAGCTATCGCTCCTCACCCCTACGAAGCTGGCATACGTGTATTATTCTCAAATATTTGCCAGTTTTGAATAGCTTTCTACTGAAACTGCTAAATGAATCCCTTAAATATGCAGCCCAGTCAGGAGAGTAGATGTGGGTCACTCAGTAGGCCCCACACACTAGTTAAAAGGCTGTACGGATACAGCGATTGTATTTCTCGTTGTGGCACCTGCACCGCTGAATTATTTAAAGCCCCGCTCGTTTGGCCACTGTTTCTCTGTAAGATTATACTTATCACTCTGTCATCATGTCTGTCATATAGGTAAGCCCAGTCTTCAGGTGCCAAATGCATAAACAACGCCATGTTGTGAACTTCTGATAGCAACGTTGAAGTTGACATGCAGAAGCAACCATGCACTTAAAGTTGACTGTCCCACTGAGTTAGAACCTGGTGTTTTCCTATGACCTGTAAACACCTTACTCAGGTCCATAAAGAGTCCAATAGACATTACAGACTGTCTTTACACACACATGGCCTTTAAACCTCCCCCAATAGCTGAGAGTCTACTAGCTACTATCATACCGTTTGTCTGTTTTGATTCATATTATTCAAATTGTAAGGTTTAAGTTGTGGTCCACTTTGAGAGACACATGTCCATTCCAGTGTTGGTACTGTGTCTTTGTAGGTCGTTTGTTTCGTGAACAGTATTTATGTTGTGTTTGTTAAGTTAATTGTTAATATGTTTCTGGCCATGGAAACTTGTAGAGCAAAGATCTGTTCATTCTGGAAAAAAGAAATGTTGGCATTGCTCCTCCTGTTTGTTGGTTCAGGTGTAATGTGACAGCAAACTTAGTTGGGTTCTAGTTTGCCGGCTTAAAGGGACAGAGTGGATTGTTTGAAATACTTATTAATCGTCTACATCAGATGTCAACATCAGATGGCCGTTGGCACTCCCTCATTTTGGAAAATCTGAACATCCATGGGAACAAATCAATGGACTGCTGTGGACGGGCTGTCAGTCAAATGTATTTTAGTCGCATATAAAAAGTCCCATGTAAAACAATAGGTGTATCAATTTAAATGTACATTATATTTTCAATATTTAATGCTTTAACAGGCCATCAGGCAGCCTAGGATCTGACGAAGAAGCTGTTATTTATTCTTTCTTCAAAGCAACCAGACTCCTTTATCAAATAGTAGTAATTTCTTTAAATCCAGACGAAGCCTTTCAAACAACTTTGTCACATAATAACACAAACACACTAGGAGATCGAGGCAGCAACAGACCAACTTCTTTGATGTTCTGCTGGGGAAATGACTGGTTAAAATACTTTTAAACTAGTTATTAGAACTAGCAACTTGACAGTTTGTTTTTACCACAGCAGTACATTGCTAAGCCATGTGGCCTTACTACTTTATTTTTTCCTAACTGGCGGCTCTCTGACCACCATCTACTATAGGTAATACACACACTCAGGACCTCATACACCCCCACTTCAAACTATCTGAAGTATCCCTCGTCAGTAAACTAAGACCAATTGTGTCTGTCTGTCTGTAGTTCACTTTTACCTCATGGAGCAAGGTGTGCTGTGTGGGCAGATTCTCCCTTGCTCCTGGAAAGAATGTCAATCTTTAGAATGAGAGGAACCCACGCCTGTCACAACAGCCTTTCTCATTAATAACACTCCTGTCGTGCTGGCTTTAACACCAGTCACCCTTGTTGTTCATCTCTGTTTAGAGCCTGACAAATGGTTCAATCTTGTATTATCATTTGTTGTAATATGTTTTTTTATTGTGTCATGCTTTAATCCAGATTTAGGGATGAACTGAGGATGAATGTAAACCAGCGCACTCCAATGGCCACTCCGTACAGCCAGCCCCAGCCTGGCTATGGCCAGCCCGGCTACGCCCCCCTGGATGGGGGATACCCCGCACCCTACGCTGGCTACCCGCCCTACAACGGCCCTGCTTCAGCCTTCCAACCCGGGGCCCCACCACAAGGTAAAGTGCTGCTTCGGAATAGGTTTGCCTTGAGGAAGTGAGAGCCACCATGTCAGCTGTGATTCTCTGCAGGAGCGTCCTACCTGACTCCTTCTCTGTGTGATTGTTCATGTATGTGTGAGACGGCACTATGCCTCTGCATACTAATCTGAATCTTGACTGCCCTCTCATTTCTTCACATTGCTTTATGCTTTTCCCTACATCTCTCTGCATTTTCCTTTCTCTCCGTCTTTTCTTGTATTTCAGGTTATTCCCCTTTCACAAGTTTTCCCTCTAAGGCTGTGGCTGCCAACCCAGTCTCTGACCTCTCCTCTCCTCTTGACTTAGGTAACTGCCTCCTCTCTATTTCTTACTCATTTCACACTCTACAAGCTCTACAAGCTCATCGAATCCTCTCTGTACCTACGGGCATTATTCGTTCTGCCTTGTTCTTTTCTTAAAGTACCGTATATTAGATTTTACCTGACACCACTGACTGTAAAGCAAAGCAGCCAACCAGTTACATACCTTTTTTTTATTACCAAACGTTTGTATAACCTTAAAATGTGTGCTTAATTGTTCACGTTTGAAATTCAATCTCAGCACCTACTGGTCATTTTCTCATTTTAACACACTTGTTGTGTGTTTTTTAGTTTCCAGAAGGTGTGGAATTCACCCTTTTTTCTTCCTCTACCCTACTTTTTATTACTGTACTAATCTCATGACTGTAACATTAATACAGCAGAAATCAAAGACAAGTTGTCCTCCTGACAGTTGCTTACTTACTTGCTTACTTGATCTGATATCCTAAAAATATCCGATGTCTGGTGTTTATTTCCAGCCTTAGCATCCAAATCTAACTGACCCCCTTACCGCTCGCTGTTTGCTGGCCTGCTGTCAGTATGTCGTCTGTGCTCCTAACCCTGGAGGCCATGTTTAGGAGTGTAATCAGTTAGTTCTATAAATGTATTCAGGCACCACTTTGGCCAAAAGCAATTTTTAGCTTGCTGCTCTAATCTCGTTACATTAGAAAGCTTGGTATCAGAATGAATTCCAGATCATGTGTCGCAGGGATGTTTATGCCTTTAGCATTGTGTAATCTTTTGCCTCTTAATTTCAGGTCCTGCCAGGGGTCCCCCCACCTCTGGAGCCCCTCCAGTTTCATCGCCTCAACAATATAATCAGTACAGTCACAGTCAAGGGGACATGCAGAATGGCCCCCCACCTATGACACAGGCACCACCCAGGTAATAACATGTGGATTGATTGTTGTTCCCAAGTTTATTCAGCCCTTGGTTTTTATAAAACATTGTTATTTTAAGCAGATTTCTCCTCAATCCCGTCAGTATTTTTGGATACATGGCTTTCTAATTTGAGCTGAATCAGGGATAGAAGATGTGGCGTCAGTCGGTCCTGACTATTTTTGAGTGAGTGTATGTGAAGGAGACTGACAGCGTAGTTGGCGACAGACAGAGCATGGCCGTCCCTCTTGGACTTCGAGAGACAACTTAACTAATTGGAGAACCCACTGATACTTTATGATCGCTCCTTTACTCGTAACATGGCCACTGAGAGATTTGTGTTTTTTTCAGGCCGGCTGGGTCTCAGCCATACAATCAGGGAGCTGTGAACCTGTCAGGGCCACAACCTGCCTATCCCCAACACTACGGGCCCCAACCCACAATGCAACAGGTCACTAACCAGATGACCGGGATGCAGATCACTTCTGGACCGCCGACCCCTGCAGGGCCAGGATATGGTAACTATGCATGCATTTGTACTCAAAACGTATCTGTCTACTAGTGCTGTAGCGACGCGTCGACATCGTCGACGCGTCGACTTCAAAATATCGTCGACGACATATTTCCGCGTCGACGCGTCGCCACCATAGACTGTATGACGCCACACACACGTGGGTCACCCAAAGCAACAAGCAGTTCGCAATCGCATTTCTAACACAATGGAGACTGAAACGGCTACCAACTCCTCCTCACAGGATTGCGCACGAAGCCCTCAAACGAAAACATCTCGCTCCAGGTCTTCAAAAGCATGGGAATATTTTAAAGTTAGTCCAAAACGCAAAGATATTTATATATTTATATCTCACTGAGACTGCTGCTTGACCGGAAGCAGCAGCTAGCTGTGGTGGCAACCATTAGCAGCTAGCATTTGCTCTCCGATTTAAAATGGAATTATGGATTATAAATTCAATATTTTTTTTATACATAGACGTTAAAAACCTATGGATTAACAGATTCAGCCGCGTTTTTTCTCATTTTAATGCCATTGAACACGTATTTTGATCAGATTGACAGCTACGGCGGTGAGACGATCTCCCTAGAAGCTCTGTGAAGGTACGTGTTGTGATGACTGTATTTGCTTCCCCTGTCGCGAGTCCGGATCACTCAGTGATGATACTATGTACCTACATAATCTGTGGAGTCTCAGCTTTAATCGGATATATTGTATGTGCAGCTACGATAAGTAATAAGGGTACTTTTATCTTGAGATCTGTGCCAATGTCCGTTAGCATTTTTCGCTCAGGGGTCATTTAGATGCTTCTTATGAGACTTGTGTTTTGTTTTGGTAAACATGGTTTGTATCGTCAGTTAGCTCAGATTATTTCCGTTAATCTGGTATAACACATTAATAGGTTCTTAAATATTAAGATCCCCTGAGACACAGTATCGTGAAAACAATTTTTTTTACATTACGTTTTTTATGAATTGAACAACAGAAAAATAATCGTTCGATTAGTCGACTAATCGATCAAATAATCGCCCGATTAATCGTTTTCAAAATAATCGTTTCCCCCCAGCACTACTGTCTACTGTCCTATTTTATGACGTTATCACCTCAAAAAATCCTCGTTATAAATCAATTTTAGTAGAGAATCATTGTATTGAAGGATTTAGTATTTTTTGTATTAAATCAATTTCTTTTATCAGGGGTTAATTAATAGTTTTTTAGGGGCTTAACACCAACAAATATCGATTACATAACATTTTTCCATTAAAACATTTTGTGAATATTGCCACGTACATATCTATCTTTATTCAATACAATTTGAATTGACTGGACTTGTTTGGATCACACAAGTTAGAAACTCAGCCACCAGTGGAATCTTATTCTACAAATAATAAAACACTAATCAAAAGAATGTTGCCTTGTCTTTATCTGCAACTGTGCAGAAATACAAGCTTTAAACAGAATGAAGGAACATGCTTAAAAACCAGCACAGCATTAGAATATGGATATAGAATGTGAATGTCATAATAAACTGTTGGGTCGGCCCTATGACAGCCCTAATGTCTCCTGGAACTAATCAGTGTCTGCCGTCTCTCCTCAGCTCCGCCTCAGAGCTCGCAGCCTCCTGTCAGTGCCCCCTACTCCGCCCCCCCTCCCCCCTCTGCGTCCGCTGCCCCGACCCAGCCTCCCCCTCCCAGCGGCCCCGCAGCTCCTCAGCAATACTACGGAGGACCACCACCTCCTTCTCAACAGCCATTCAGCTCTCCTCTTCCCCCCACCTCCCAGCAGCAGTTTACAGCTCCTCCCCCTCCTCCTTCCTCTCAGCAAACCTTTCCTCCCTCCTCCTACTCGGGTCCCATGTCTCCACCCAGCCAAGCTCCGGCCCCCCCCCATGTCCCAGCCCCAGCAGTCGTTCCCCCCAGCCCAGCCCCCCTTCTCCTCAGCACCTCCACCTGCCAGCCATCCTGCCTTCAACTCGGGCCCGCCTCCCCCCGCTCAGGGCTCCTTCCCAACTGGAGCCCCCCCTCCTTCCTCACATGCCGGGTCTTTTCCTCCTCAAATCTCCATGCACCCTGGCCAGTACCCAGGCCCCATGCCACCCCAACAGCAGCCCCCTCCATCCCAGCCATCCCCCTACAACTCAGGCCCCCCTCCTCCCAGAGTTCAGATGCCCCCTACTTCCATGGCCCAGAGCAACCACCTTCCTCCAGGACCCCAGGGCCCCCCAGGTCCCCCGGGGGCCATGCAGCAGCCCCCGCCTCAGCCTGGCATGCAGGGAGGATACCCCCCCCAGCAGAATGGTGAGGAGACCAGGCATACGATTTTAACGCCATTTTTTTTTTTGGAAGGTTTTGTGAATATTCTCATGAGTATTATGAAAAAGCTGTCAAAATGCTCATGAGAGCGGAGTACACAAATAATGACTAGTACTTACCATGTAAGGAAGAAAAGACTTAAACATTGTTGCTATTTTCAAAAATGATTTATTTATTTAAGGGAATCATGATTTGGCTTATTTAAGAAGAAGAAAAAGTGTCCTTGCTGTAATGCAGTATACATATTAGTTTCTTAACTAATTGTCAGGTAAAGTAATTCTAGAATGTTTTGTAGCTATTTGAAGCATACTTTGATCATTGTCGGAATAATATTGTCATATTTTGTTCAGAATATACTTCACAATATGTGGTAGCTAAAAAGACCTGTGATGGTTTTCTCTAGGTGCGTTTGGGCAGGTGAGGGGCCCTCAGCCTGGCTATGCGGGCCCTTATCCCGGTCAACCAAACTACGGAGCTCCTGCACCAGCGCCCGCTCCTGCTCCCGCTGCACAGAAGCGACTCGACCCCGATGCCATTCCTAGCCCGGTGAGCAAACCCTAACAAACACACACGTCCTTCTCAAATCCAAATGTCTTAGTTTACAGCGAAACACACATCTGTGGCCATCTCTGTTTTTCACACCATGTTTTGAGATAGTAAGAAGTAGTGAGCAAAGATGACAGTTTCTGAGTGAGTTTTGAAAGTGACATGTACACTCGGTGTCCACTTTATTTACTTGATGCCTATTAATGATGACAATTCAATCTAGCATGGAAGACATAATGGTGTACCGAGCTGCATTACATTCACCTTGATATAAAGCAGTTCTGTACACCTATCTATCTTTCTCTTTATTAGGATCTCTGTTAGCACGAATATTAGCTATTCTTCCTGCCAGACAAGTAGCATTTCACTCAATCTTAACATTGTAAAGTTTTGAATTCATGGCATTGAATTGTTCAAGTGTACCTAATAAAGTGGCCACTGAGTGTATATGATGTTGCATGTACCACCTAAGTGTTTGTCAATAAGTGATGCGTAGGTCAAAAAGGAATTTAGATATCATTATTAATTTGACAAAATGATATCAATGTTTTAGTGAATTATATCAATTTGACTAATCTTTCAAAGAAGAATTGAAATATCTGTAGCGGTTTTGTTTTTTGACTCTTTTAGTGGCTATATTTCTCCTGTTGTTGTTTTTTGTATTCATTTTGTCATTTTGAATGCTGACTTGTCTTTAATTAAAAAGAGAGATTTTTAATGTTGTGTGCTTTTAGCTTAAAATGAAATCAAACATTTGTTTTTCTCGTCCTGGGACATTGCATTCACTTCTGGATATCACAGTATATGCAATGTTCCCCCCTTTGATTATCTACATATTGCAAAGCTTTTACACCACAAAAGTACAAGAGTTATATTTTGACCTTGTCTTTACATTTAAAGCTGTTTAGCATGTGTGTCAAACAGGCTCCCGGTGTCTATATCTTCTAGTGCTTGTGACTGTTATTTACATATACCACTAATCAATAATCAATACTTCTGATCAGTTTCTGTCTGAATAACAACAATGCCGCCTGCCACTCAGCAGAGTCTTGCTGACTACTCTCTTCTCACACTTTTATATTTTCACTCTTTTTTTATTTTATTTTATTTTATTTTGTCCTGATTCGCACAAATTGCTGGACAATCTTTTGAATGTAAAGCAAGCGTCTGACATGCCGGCTGTGCAGAAATCAAGACATAGAATAGATCCAGACGCTATCCCCAGCCCAGTAAGTCTCCTGAGTGCCTGCCTCTTCCTCCGCTTCACCCTGTCCTCTCCGCCCGCCTGCACTCACTCACAGCTTCCCCCCCGCCTGCTCTCCCCTCCCCTCAGAGTCAGGGATATGTGAAAGATGTTGAGAATGGCTCAGTCATCCCTGCTGATTACCATGTTTCACCAGTGTAGCCCTATTCTAAAAGGAAGGGAACTCTCAACTAGGGCTGCTCGACTATGGCAACAATCATGATCTCGTTTATTTGAGTCAATAATTGAGATCACGATTATTAAAAACGATTATCCATTTACTTTGAAAACATCCATTTATTGAAAAAGAATGTGAACAGTATGTTTTTAACAGTTGATTACCCTGAACTTTAAGTATAATTCAACTGAAAAACCAAAAAAAAAATGTAAAAAAAAAAGAGGAAAATAATCGTTTTATTTTCGATTACGTTGTTTTCATAATCGTTGCAAGCCAAAATCGTAATTGCGATTAAAATGCGATTAATTGAGCAGCCCTACTCTCAACTGTTGCTGTACATTTATCAAATCTTAACAGCAGTGTTGCCCTAATAAAAAAAGTTTGCAGTCCAAATGAGAGCCCGGTTTAAGAGACATTGTTTAAAAGCAATAGTATGTTTTTTTGAAATACAATTACTTGCTTTCTTGCCGAGATTAAGATGATTGATACCACTCACATAATACACAAGATATGAAGCAGTATCCAGCTAAATTAGCTTAGCATAAAGACTGAAGGGGGTTAGCCTGGCTCTGTCTAACAAGGACAACCAGCACCGCTAAAGCTAAAAAATGAACATGTTGTATCCCTACACTTTAACACGGAGCTCTTGTATAACCTTTACGTTCCTTTTGGTGTTTTATTGTGGCATCTTTTCAGAAATTGTACATTACCCAATTACATGTTGTCATTTAAAGCAATTCCTCAAACTTTTATTTGATAGTTTGTCAAGTCTTCCTCTACTTATCATCATATGCACTGCATTGAATCGCTGTGACGGTCATCCTTTACTGCCTCACCATTTATCTTGTTGTTTGTGTGTTCGGTCAGGACTGACGCAGCCTATCGTAGCGTAGAGAACTTGAGAGTTGTTTTTATGGTTTGTCAGTCCTCAGACAGCCACCGCCTCTCTGCGTCTTGCATGCAAGCCTGTGATGTTTCACTTGCCTACAATTTCTTGCATTAAAGGCATGCCTTGATCATTCCTGCGCCTTCTCGAAGAGTCACCGTAGACTGACTGTTTTTTCCACAGATGTTGATGGGTTCTCAGTGTGTGTTCAGTAGCTGCAGATGTGTGTGTAGGGGTCGTGTGGAAGTCATCTCATGCATGTTTGTTCAATGTTCCTCTTTTATACTTTTGAGATACTCAGTGGCAATACATTTACATGTTTGTTTTACCCTATACACATGAGTGGTAAAAATATATATATTCCCCCCCTCCCCCCTTAGATCCAGGTAATAGAGGACGACAGGGCTAAAAGCACGGAGCCGTTCACCACAGGGGTCAGAGGTCAGGCCCCTCCGCTGGTCACCACCAACTTCCAGGTCAAAGACCAAGGTACGTTCTACTTCCTGTTAAAGCATGCAGATGCAGGAAGTGTTTTTCATACACTTCAGTCAACCAAATATTGCAAAAAGGACCATTTCTGATGAAATTCTCACAGAATTATCCCTAATTTGACTTTCTTTCCATACGTAATTACTTGCAAAACATTGATTCAAAACATTAAAGAACTTAACCTTGTAAAAATGGATATTAATGTATAGTTTTTGACTTTCTTCAGGGAATGCCAGTCCCAGGTTTGTTCGCTGTACGGCCTACAATATGCCCTGCACGGCCGATATGGCCAAGCAGTCTCAGGTGCCCCTGGCCGCCGTCATCAAGCCCCTCGCCACGCTGCCCCCAGATGAGGTGAGCGACGCCCTCTCCTCTCCTCTATCTTCCGTCTCTCCTGATTTTTTACACTTTGTTATCCCTATGTAGACAAGTCTCTTCTTCTTTTGTCTGATCTTTAGATGTTTTTATATGTCACAAGATCATCTATGAGATTATCTTGTGTTTTTTGTCATTTTATTTAGTGATATAGGAGTCACAAGACAAGTGCATACAAGTACAGTCAGATACACAGAAGACGGATTAAAATTACAAAATATACATGAAGACAAAAAAGAAAACAAAATGAGTGAGTGTATGTGAAGGAGACTGACAGCGTAGTACACAAATGTGTGTGCGTTGGAGGGATTAGACAAAAAGAGAGTGAAAAATGACAAAATAATAATTTAAATGATATGAGTAACAATATAATAGTCATGTATCGTAGGGGGGGGGGCATGTAAATGGTAGCAGGACCTTAAAGACCTTAAGGAAGTGAAAAGGGGTGGTGGCTGATATCGGAATGAGGATTATGAATTCTCTGTTTATTTAAGAAAGAAGATAAATGTTTGTTGTTATGCCAGACGCAAAAGAACAGCTTCCCATACAAAGAGCTCGGGCTGAAATAAAGCAAACATTTTCTAGATTTAGCTTTATTATGTTTGACAATAAACTGAATATATTCTGGCCTTGGACATGTGCTCAAAATACATTTGAAAACATAAAAGCTATTTTATAGAGAAAATTATGAATTGAATCAGTTTAATCTTTACTGTCTGACTCAACAACAAGCGTCCTTTGCTTGTGTCTCTCTTCATCCGAGCCCCCCGAGCAGCTCTATCCTCCGCTGAGATTTCATAACAGTCTGACCTTTTTAACCCTTAACCTGATTCGAAAAAGGATTAATTTCAGGGCAATGCCTGCAGCCTCTGAGGTTTTTATGACAGGATGCCGGTTGTGGCAGTGCTATAATCCCAGAGGTGGGAGTGGCTGCGTGACCTTGTTTTATGCACTTTACACAAGTGTAACTCAGTTACATCATTTTGGCAAAGAAACACTTTATCTAACACATGGTGTAAATGTTTCTTCATGACTTCCTTTCTCAGTAATTCTTTCCACATCAGGGTTTAGATGAAGTCTGTCTCGTGTAATTGGATAAGACTCCTCTTACTCCTTTCCTTGTATCTCTTGTCAGACCCCTCCATACCTGGTGGACCACGGCGAGGGGGGTCCGATCCGTTGCAACCGCTGCAAGGCCTACATGTGTCCGTACATGCAGTTTATAGAGGGAGGGCGGCGCTTCCAGTGTGGCTTTTGCAGCTGCCTCACAGAGGGTGAGTTTGTGTCTCTGTTTGTGTATTCCTTAAAGGTCACCTATTATGCAAAAGGCACTTTTGATGTCTTTTATACATAATTATGTGTCCCCAGTATGTAAGGAGAATCACAAAGTGTCAGGAAATACAACCCACATCTATAAAAAAAACGGGGGTACAACGGAGCTGATCCAGATTTGCTGCGGTCATGACGACATTACTAAAATGTCGTCATAAAACGGCCCTATCAGAAACGTGTTTTGGACATTATATGGTCTGTGTTTACATTAGCAAGCACCGCTAACACTCAGAGCTAACGCTGTACTGGAGAGAGTATGTGTAAAGATTCAGGATATAAAAAGGAACTCACCTTGTGGTAAACCTGCGAGAGAAAAAGCATTTGAGCTCCATACTGTTTCGGAAATAATCCTTGATGTGGTTTGGAACATATTATGGCGTTTAATCACGTCAGCATTTAGCTGAGAATCTGGGTAGAAACCTCTCTTCCCAGAGGACAGCTCATGCATGCTCCAAAGGGGCGTGGCCAGCAGCAGCTCGGGTTACATTTAAAGCTACAGACCCAGAATCAGCACTTCTCTAACAGGGCTGAAATAGAGGGGTATGAGGCACAGCTAGAATGGGTGATCTGTTGGTATTTGGAGCAAAACACTTCAGAGACATATTTTTGATATATGTGAGACCTGTAATATATGCGTACAAACAGTATAATAGGAGACCTTTAAATTAAAATCACTGTACTGATTGCCCTTCCTCCTCTTTTCCCGCAGTGCCTCCACATTACTTCCAGCATCTGGACCACACTGGTAAGAGGGTGGACTGCTACGACCGGCCGGAGCTCTCGCTGGGAAGCTACGAGTTCATGGCCACTGTCGACTACTGTAAGGTAGGTCCTTCCTGCAGGAAAGCCACCTTTGGACTCAGATTGTTCAACCATCATTGTTCCCAGATCTCTGTTTGAGGAATGTTTACCCATGGTTCCCTTCAGTGATCTCCACCAGTCATTATCTGTAATAGGATCTGGTTTCATTAATGTTATCACAGGTCAGAATGACACAATATTAAACACAGCCATTAGCAAATAACTGCAGAAAGAGCTAGTCATATTCCAATTAAGTCATAAAAGCAAAGTCTTTCTGAAAGTGGCTTGGTTTACTTTTTATTTCATCTGCATTCAGTTTTAAATGATTTGTCGTAGAGCATCCTAACAATACAGTCATGTTACCCTGAGGGATACTGGGTACATATTGGTTTAGTTTGAACCAATTTAGTTATTAGAGTGATGTACCCACACATAGTTTTCAATTGATTTGAATGAGATTGAATTTGAATGTTTAGGCCTTATAGTTGTTTTAAAGCATTTTTCTTGGTGATTTAAATTCAAACTAAACATGACATTTTAGATACAGGTTTTACACTTGGCTTATTGCCATATATAGTAAATGTAATTGTCATTGAAACACCCATTGAATGCTTCTCAGACAATCAAAGAGTTGAATATAAGAACCTGTCTGTTCTGTTAATATGGTACTCATATGTAACACACCATATTCTAGATCATTTACGCGTGACTTAATACAAACTGTGTGTTCTTCTGTAACAGAACAACAAGATCCCTCAGCCTCCAGCCTTCATCTTCCTCATCGATGTGTCCTACAACGCCGTGAAGTGCGGCATGGTCAACATCGTGTGCCAGGAACTAAAGACCCTCCTCGACTACCTGCCCAGGTACTCAGACACATACACACACAAAATATATACAATAGGAAAGAAAAACAAGCAGGGAAGGAAGAGGAGAGGAGCGAAGGGAAACTAGTGAAGAAGAGACTGATTGAAAGATCCAATTTGAAGGTTAGAATAGGAAGATGTGGAGAAAGCACAAGAAAAGGAGAGCGAAAGGCAAGGAAGCGAAAAGAGGAGATAAAGAGGAAGGAAGGAACACTTCCTCTTATGAGGGGGATTTTTTTAAAAGACAGTTTATACTCTCACTACCGTCATAAAATACAAACCTAACTATTTTCCCTCTCCCCAACCGTTTCTGCGTCTAGGGAGAACCCAGAAATGGACTCCGTGGTGCGGGTGGGTTTCGTCACCTACAACAAGGTTTTGCACTTCTACAACGTAAAGTCCAGCCTGGCCCAGCCGCAGATGTTGGTGGTGTCGGATGTGTCGGACATGTTTGTGCCTCTGCTCGACGGCTTCCTGGTCAATGTCAACGAGAGCCGGCAAGTTATCGAGAGGTGGGTACAAAAAACCTGACACACACACACGTTGACATATGAATAAGGTGTGTAAGGACAGACAAATGGATCGGGTTTACTCACACACTGTTTGTGATGTTCCAGTTTGCTGGACCAGATCCCAGAGATGTTTGCGGACACCAGGGAGACGGAGACAGTGTTTGGACCCGTCATCCAGGCGGGACTGGAGGCACTCAAGGTCAGCACATAGTGCCACTTACATTTACAGGGATACGATTTGTCCCGGTTTATCAGATTTCCAAACTGGAAAACAAGACGTCAAAAAACAGTTTTATTAAAATTAGGTTTCTCTTGGCCTATTTGTGAAAAAGTGTAATTGAAGAAACATTATTTGAATGTTTCTGCTTATCGATACTAAAATAATGATTTAACTTTGACAAGTTTATCATTTAGTTTGACCTATAGCATAATAATGGTCCAAACATAATGTGGAAATTGTTTTAAGTCAATAACCTTCACATTTCCTTAAGGAAGGACCCAAAGATACCCTTTACTAACATACAAAGCTCACTATTGAGCCCTGTGTGTGGCGTTCCACCAGTTATTCAAACCAAAAACAATATGGTGGATTAGAGTAGTGATCAGGCCGCGCTGGTGTTTGAAGTCTGCTGCCATGCCTGATGATCTGTATGACGTTGTGTGTCCCTCCTCAGGCTGCAGACTGTTCAGGAAAGCTGTTTGTGTTCCACACCTCTCTGCCCATCGCAGAGGCTCCGGGAAAACTGAAGAACAGAGAAGACAAGAAGCTAGTTGGGACCGATAAGGAAAAGGTTGCCAGTTTATTTTATATTCACTTGTGTTGGACATTTTATATGTTGTATGTTACAACTTAATGTGTATCTGTCATTTATTTAGGGCAACATTTTCACATATTAGTGAAAGATTCCACACTGACTTCCTGTCCTTCCCTGTCCTCCTCAGTCTCTGTTCCAGTCTCAGGCAGGTTTCTACAACACCCTGGCTAAGGAGTGTGTAGCGCAGGGCTGTTGTGTGGATCTCTTCCTCTTCCCCAACCAGTACGTGGACGTTGCCACGTTAGGAGTGGTTCCTGTCTCCACTGGAGGCTCCATCTACAAATACACATACTTCCAGGTGAGGGGAAATCACTCTTTCCTTATTCTGATACAGCTGCAGGCTTTCTTTGGCAACCCCAGCTTTATGATCCACTGGAGCCTCTATAATGCTCTGATTTGTTAAAATACTAGCTAGATCATTTGACACTGTTAAACGTAGCTGTGGTGTGTAACTCATGGTGTGTTTTGTTATTCCCAGGCTCAGTCGGACAGGGAGCGATTCCTGAACGATCTGAGGCGAGACGTTCAGAAACTAGTGGGCTTTGACGCCGTCATGAGGGTGCGAACCAGCACAGGTGAGGCTCGTCCACCTGAAATCAAAACAGAATGCCAGTCCCGTCTTGATATTTATCACACCTGACTTCCTGAATGTCCCGCTCCTGCCTCCCCTCCCCTCAGGTATCCGGGCGACAGACTTCTTCGGCTCCTTCTTCATGAGCAACACCACAGACGTGGAGCTAGCAGGCCTGGACTGCGACAAGGCCATCACTGTGGAGTTCAAACACGACGACAAGCTCAGCGAGGAGACGGGGGCCCTCATGCAGGTGTGCAACAAAATCATTTAAAAAATAAAATAAACACATTTTTTATAGTTTCAAAATCCAGATTAGACTTTGCATTGAGTACTTCCTAACAGCAGTGGCTCAGATTAGTTCTGTAGTGGTCGGAGCCACCTAATCTGACATCCAATCAATCAGTCTGTTAATCTGACCCCTGTTCCCCCCCGCAGTGCGCCGTGCTGTACACCAGCTGCAGCGGGCAGAGGCGTCTCCGCGTCCACAACATGGCGGTCAACTGCTGCTCTCAGCTGGCCGACCTCTACCGCAACTGTGAGACGGACACAATCATCAACTTCTTCTCCAAATACGGTGAGGACCCGCTCTCATTCAATCTAAAGAGCGCGGAATGCAAATGTCCACAATTGTGCTCTAAAAAGTCTCAACAAGTTATGAGTGGAGAAAGGAATGAGTCACATTTTCTATAAATACTATCAAGCCATCCCCAGCTGCTTCAGTGGAGCTGCAAATTGTCCAACAGTAGGAAGCTGCACCTGTTCCTCTCGGCATGCCGGGAGGAATGTTTGCAGCTCTGTAAGACTGAAGCAGGGCAGCGTTCACTCCCCATCCAACGGAGAAAGGAAGCTGTAAAATGGTTTTCTTTAAGAGAGGACATTCTTTTTAAAGTTGCATGTTATAAGCCTTTTATTACTTAAAGGTCACCTATTGTGCAAAATTCACTTTATGTCTTTATACACAATATACATAAATGTGTCCCCGGTATGTAAGAAGACTCACAAGTGTCAAAATACAACCTTCTCTCTTTTCCTCCAAACCCACATCTCTAAAAACGGGGGTACAACGGAGCTGATCCAGATTTGCTGCGGTCATGACAACTTTACTAAAATATTATCTGGCTTAACGTTGAACTCCTGTCAACGTTCGTTCGGCCCACTTCCCTATCTTCCCCTATCAGAAAAGTTGCTGTATCAGAAACAATGCATGACTTGTTTTGGAAGTAATATGGTCTGTGTTTACATTAGCAGGCATTGCTAACACTCAGAGCTAACGCTGTACTGGAGAAAATATGTGTAAAAAAGCTGGATATAAAAGTGACTCACCTTGTGGTAAAAAGCATTTGAGCTTGTATGCTCCAAATGGGCGTGGCCTGCAGCGACTCGGGTTACATTTAAAGCGTCAGACCCAGAATCAGCACTGCTCTAACAGGGCTGAAATAGAGGGGTATGAGCAGAGATGGGGTCGTTACTAAAAAAAAGTAATATATTACATATTACTTTTTAAAAAAAAGTAATATATTACACTACTTCGTTACTCTCTACATAAAGTAACTCGTTACTTTACTCGCAGGGCCGGCCCGCCCCTCCCTACAGGCAGATCACGCAGACTGCGGCGCACCTACAGTGTGCGCGCCACAGTTTTGCCTCTGCGAGACTCCACTTGCACCCCCAATTACTATTGCATTAAGGAAGACATAACACAAGTCTTTCTTTTGATATGCTCTAAAATAGGCTACCAGCCACACAACAAGCTAACAGTCTGTGAAACGTCAAGACACTAATTAATGAAACCAGTTCAAGACGCATTATTCTTATCATTCTTTATGAGCTTAGTAACGGTAAGGTATCTAATTACTTATGTATTTAGTATTCCATAACTTAGTAACAGAGATGGTCAAACTAAAGTGGTAGAGACATGGCAGAATTCCTACAATGAAGCGGGACATTGAACTGTTCACCCGTGAGAGGGCGATCAACAAAAGAGAGCGAGCGGCCCGTTGAGGGAGTTTACAGATGAAAAGACTCAGCCATGTTTATGCAGCACTTCACGTGGAGATGTGGTCTCGCAAGTCGCGCAGATTACATAGGCCTACATGTATATAAACCTGCGGCGGAACACTACTCCGTTACCGACAAAAGTAATATTAATATTAAATATTATTACAGTAACGCGTTACTTTGTAACATATATATATCTGAGACCTATAATATATGCCTAAAAATAGTATAATAGGAGACCTTTAACACTGGTCCCTGGTGGTTGACTATATGATAATTATATGCGGCTATCATATTCAATATTTTAATATGCAAGTGTTTGTGTGTTGCAGCTTTCCGAGGCCTCCTAACCAACCACACTAAGGCGGTGAGAGAAACTTTGATCAACCAGTGTGCTCAGATCCTGGCCTGCTACCGAAAGAACTGTGCGAGCCCCTCATCAGCTGGTCAGGTAATACAACCCTCACTACGTCTTATCAGCACTGCACAGGGCTTCTTCCTATGACTAATATGCAACATAAGCAGATGTATTCTCAGGATCCCATTTGACAGTACATTTAATTTCAGATTGCTCATTATTTGTTTTAGTCAAAAAAGAAATAGATTTAGAAAGCAAATGCACTTTCAATTTAGAAATCCTTTATAAGTCCCGCAGCCGGGAGATTTACAGCCGTAGAGCAATAGCAGATAAAAAAGAGTTGGCTAACATATTAAATATAGAGACGAGCAGGACACATCCATGGTTAAAATAAATAAGTATTTCTTAGTTTCTTCCTTCAAACATATTAACAGACCATTTACGTTGCTCAATATAAAATGTAGAATAAAAGAGGGATTGCTCTCAACATGGTTTAAATAGAATCAAAAAGTGTAACGTTGTGTGTGTGGGTGTGTGTGTGTGTGTGTGTGTGTGTGTGTGTGTGTGTGTGTGTGGTGTTGTGTGTGTGTGTGTGTGTGTGTGTGGTGTGTGTGTGTGTGTGTGTGTGTGTGTGTGTGTGTTGTGTGTGTGTGTGTGTGTGTGTGTGGTGTGTGGTGTGTGTGTGTGTGTGTTGTGTGTTGTGTGTGTGTGTGTGTGTGTTGTTGTGTGTGTGTGTGTGTGTGTGTGTGTGTTGTGTGTGTGGTGTGTGTTGTGTGGGTGTGGTAGTGTGTGGTGTGTTGTGTGTGTAGTGTGTGTGTGGTGTGTGGTGTGTGTTTGTGTGTGTGTGTTGTGTGTGTGTGGTGTGGTGTGTGTGTGTGTTGTTGTGTGTGGTGTGTGGTAGCTGATCCTGCCTGAGTGCATGAAGCTGCTGCCGGTGTATCTGAACTGCCGGTGGCTGAAGCGTGGACGTGTTGCAGCCGGGGGCCGACATCTCATTGGACCGACAGGGCCTACCCCTGAGGCAGCTGATTCAGCTGCAATGGACGTCTCCGAGAGCCACGTCTTCTTCTACCCCCGCCTGCTGCCACTGGTGAGACCACACACACTAAATAACACAAAGGTTTGGTCAGGTATTATTTGGCTCAGGGCCAATGTTCACGATCTTTACAGAATACTGAATAGCTTAAAGTTGAATCACCAGGGTGTAAATGTGTTATACAGGATGAGAAATGGTTGAAATGTGGCGTTGGAAATCACATTTCATACGGGCAGAGGCTTTTCTGTTATCATCAAAGTGTCAAGGCTACTATTTGATATCCATTTCCATCAAAAAACAGTGTTTGTTTCCCTCGTACTCAATATAATAATAGCCTGTGTCTGATCCACAGTACAGTTTTAGTATTAAAGCAGATGAAAATATATCTGCGTGACTATGCTCTCATAGAACAAAGAACAGACACAAGGTTATTTTCCTCCATCACAACTATTTGTATCATCAGAACGCTGTAATGTGTGTAATGTTCTCATGCAGTCATCAGTATTATAAACTGAATCAGCCCTGTGTTAAAGCAGCGTTAAAGCACTAGAAATGTGCTCTTGCCTTGGTTGCATTGAATATGATTGCTGCCTTCATTCACACAGCGCTACTGACAGCCATTCATTTAGCCTGTGCTTATTACTTTACAGTTCAGTGAGCCCCAACGATATTAAAAATAAGCTTTAACCTATAAGCTTTGCACACTCTGAAAGTTGTATTTTAATGCTCTTTTTTGGAGCTTTTTATTCATTTCTATTAGTTTTTTATTCTAAGTTTCATCTTTTTTAGCTGCAATATTAAATACATACAACATATATATCTTTACCCGAGTGCCCTCAAGCCTTTGTGTTTATCTCTGCCATTAAGTACAATTCTCCTGTCAGAGATCAGCTGTTTGAGGCTAAATGCTTTGTGTGATCAGCAGATGGAACACCAACATGTTGCTCTAATATTCTTCCTCCTCTTTGACTTCACAAGGCAAAGTTGGAAACCGGGTCGTTGCCGATGGCGGTGAGGGACTCCGAGGAGAGGCTGTCTAAAGGCGGAGTGTACCTCCTGGAGACGGGGCTCCACCTCTTCCTGTGGGTGGGGGCCAGCGTCCAGCAGGAGCTGCTGCTCAACATCTTCGGCACGACGAACTTCAGCCAGATAGAGCCGAGCCTGGTGAGAGGACGCAGAGCTGCTCACATGTTGTGGAGCTTAGCTGACTGAGCCACTGCCTGCACATTAATCCTGTGTTTCTTGTCTAATTGTAACCAAGTGGCCGTCTTCTCTAATGTATAATGCTTTATTTCCTTTGTTACTTCATCAAAATAGTACATAGTATAGCAGGTTGTTTCCACTTTATTACACAATATATCATAAATAACTTCTTCCGTTTCAGACAAGTCTTCCAGAGCTGGACAACCCCTTCTCTCAGAGACTCAGAGAGATCATCGAATCCTTCAGAGCAGAGCGATCACGATACATGAAGGTAAACCTTTTATTTTCCTCATTACAGCTCTAGAGTCTTTAACTCTTTGTCCTGCCTCGTTGAAATGAAAAATATCTGATGTCTGTGCCAATGTGGCGGCTGAGTTTCAACATCAATACCAACAAAAATACTTATATTTTGATGCCTTATATTGTATATAAACATGGTTTTCTACAAAAACATTTTTTTCATTTTCACAAAAGATGCCAGACAGGAAATTGGTCTAAAAATAAACATTACATATTTAAACCCAAGTGGAGTGTTTTCAAGATTGCAAATAACATTTTGGATAATGTACATTCTCAACAATTGGCTTATGGAAATGGAAGTTATGATGGGCATTTTTTTTTTTATACAGAAAACATTACTTAAAGGGGACCTATCATGCAAAATGCACTTTGCGATGTCTTTTATACATACATATGTGCAGATTCCATCCGAACTCACGTCAACATTTGCAGCGGACCCACAGAAAGTTGCTATCAGAAACAATGCCTGACGTGTTTTGGACATAATCTTGTCTTTGTTTACATTAGCAAGCCTCGCTAACACTCTGTACTGTATAGCACATGTGTTTAAAAAGCAGGAAATAAAAAAAGAACTCACCTTGTGATAAACCTGCAAGAGAAAAAGCATTTGAGCTCCATACTGTTTTAGAAATAATCTTTGATGTGGTTTAAACAGGATGGCGTTTTATCACAACAGAATTTAACTTTATCTCCGGTAGAATTCTGATCAGGCATTAGCTCCGCCTCCTCTTCTTTCTTTTTTTTCAAGCTAAGGAACCAAGATCCGCGTTTCTCTAACAGGGCTGAAAAAGAGGGGTATGAGCAGTATGAGGCATGGCTACAATGGCTGATCTGTTTGGTATTTTAAGCAAAAAAACTTCAGACATATTTTGTATAGGTATGACCCTACAATATATGTTTCAAATATAGCATGATAGGTCCACTTTAAATATGAATATTAGTTTTATTTATTGAGAAAATAATCCTAAATGCAACCCTACTTGGCAGTATTTGACGCCTGATGGTACAGCACTTTAAGGTTTGACCCCCTTCCCGCTCTCACACCCCCGTCTCCTGTTTTCCAGCTCATGGTGGTGAAACAGGAAGACAAAGCCGAGCTGATATTCAGGCACTTCCTGGTGGAGGACAAGAGCGTCTGCGGGGGAGCGTCATACGTGGACTTCCTGTGTCACATGCACAAGGAGATCCGCCAGCTTCTCAGCTAGACCTACACGTTCCCACCTTCACCTGTATGACCCCCCCTCCCTCGGTTTACCCTTCCTTGTGAAAGAAAGCGCTTTTTTTTTTCTTTTTTTTTTAACCTAATAAACTAAAGCTCTCCTTGCTGTCTGTCAGCTGAGACGCCAGCTGGCAGACATCGTTGTGTGTGTGTGTGTGAGAAAGGTGTTCATAGAGCTTTACTCTTCCCTCAAATGTACTTCTCCAACACAGCAGGAGCAATATAGCTGACGAGGGAGAGTAATGTATATACACAAGTGAACTATTATGTATGCAACAGACTGAGTGAGTGACGGCGGGTGTTGACTGTAGTCGGTGAACTGTCTGTATTACTAGCACTGAAAGGCTGTTTTGGGTTTATTAACGACCCTCGGATAGCAAACACTTTTTATATGATTGAATCCCAATAGAGTGAAGGACATCTACACAACCCAAATGGAATTAAATAAATGCTGGTCTTTCTGTCTCTTCTCCCCTTTAACCATGGCCTTGGTACCCCCCTCCCCATGCTGCTCCAATCATCTGTAATGTGTGTGTGTATGTGTGTAAATATGTGAGAGGATTATTCACCCATTGCCCCTATTCTTACTTCCTGCTTTCAGTAAGAGCAGTCGAATTAAAAAGTTACAGGAAGAGCTCAAACTCGAGTCGGACAACAGAATGGATTTAAGGAGTATCTTGAAATGTAAAATCTGGTTTTATTTTCCACAAGTGAACTGAAAATAAAGGCTTCTGTGTTATTACAGTAATTGGTATAATCCGGATTTGTTTAAATCAGCTTCAGTTGAGTTTCCGTTACTGTTGCTAACATCTGGCTCAGATGTTTGGTCACCGATGAACCAGATGTGCATTTTAAATCACTGTCAATGATTCTGGAATGAGAGGGGGCCTATATTTATTCAACGTCTATGCAGCAAAGAGAAGGACTGACACAAAATAAATGGGAAATCATCATGATTTCTTTCTAGGGTCAATTCAGTCTGCTGCAGTGCTGTGACTTTATAAGAATCAAACGTTCTGAGAACTGTACTTTTAAAAAAAGCAAAGTTGATTTCTTTTTTTAGAAGACAGAAATAAGTGCAGAACGACTGCAGATATATCAGCTAATGTTTTGATTTTAAATTGTCTCCGCACTGATGTTGTTCAGTGTGTAAATAAAGTATATAATCTGTACAGAATTAATAGAAGAAAAACAATTTTAAATAACTGCCTGGACAGCTGTGGTGTGTTGATGGTTGGTTTCGCTGTCACAAATGGCCGAAATATAAAATCCTGGCTTTTACTGAAGAGAGGAAGACGCCCTGACTGGCTTTTTGATACATGTGTGTCTGTGTGAATGAGTGTGTCAGTTTGTTTGTTTGTGTGTGTTTGAATGTGGGGTCGGTCCTGGTGAATTTCTGCTGAGGAACAGAGGGATCAGCCAACACACACACTCACACACTATACATTACCTGTGAGATTAAATCTAATCTTTATTCATCACTTAATGTCCTTTTTTTTTTAACGTTGTGACTTTTGTGTTTATTTGGTGTGTGTGTAGCCCTCTGTTCCGTCTTTACGTTCACTGACTTCGATTGGCCCAACGTCTTGACTGTTAATTTCTGTTCCTTTTTTCTCTTTGATTTGTCCTCTTTTTTTTCATTGCCTCTTGGGACTGCTAATAAAATGATTGTTAAAGTGAAACTCCATATTGTGCTTCATCCTTCTCTGTTTGTTGTTTCAGGAAAGTAATATTACGAAATATATATATTCTATAATAACATTTTATGAAACATTGCTTTCACTTCCTCTTAACAGCCTGCCCTGCAGATAAATGTGGGAATATTAGTTCAGATTCTGATTAATATGTTCATATTCGGGGGTTTTTAGGTTCAGGAATCGGTTATTTTATAACAACTTAAATGTCTCTCGTTCCAAGTGAACAAGTGACTCCGAGTCAATACCAGATTTCTATCAATATATGAATAACTTTAACCAAAAAAATCTGCAGTTTTTAATGAAAGTCTCTAATCTTTTCAATAGTTTCCATGTCATGTGAACTTATGACCCCAAATCAATAAATCATTGTATAACTACACTAGACAAGTAAGACACACCCCTTTTTATTGGATTATTGTCTATTTCATATAAATGTATGTAAGCAGATTCAGGATTCCTCTTTTTGGAGTGGGTCGCAGATGTGTGAGTGAAGAATTTCTATTTTAATTTAGATTTTTTTGAAAAAAGTCAAACTTTTATTTTGAAGGCCCGATTTTCTAAAGCTGTGCATGCTGTAGGCGTTGGACTGGAAGTACCGGAGACCATAAACGGTTTTGAAAACTTCTGTCACGTAGTGATCAGATTCTCAATAAAACATCTTTGCTGATTCGAGTCTCCTGGCCAATCAGGATCAAGATTGTTGCCGGAAGTCCCCACGGAGAATAACTTTGCGGTAGAACCCTAGGGTATACTATTCTTTATACATCCATGGGTACAACTTCAGATAAAAATGAACACATAATGAAATATGACCCCCGGTTTGATGATTGACAGGTCACAGAACAATGGGGGCTATCTACCCTTACCCACAATTTAAAGTAATCCACACAGACTCTCTCCTCTTTACTCTTCTCTCTGAGTGGAGCAGCAAGTTCAGCTGTCAGAACAAAGTGAAAAACAAACAATGGCATAAAATATTATTAATATGTCGGGTAGCAATAGATTTATTTATTTTCTTCTCAGAGTGTACCAGAATGTACGGAAGAGGATTAGGGCCACATAAAAAAAAATTTTGTGAGGATTTAAAAAAAAAAAAAAAAAAATTTTGTTCTGAGAAAAAAGTCAGAATTCTGACTTTAATCTCAGAATTCTGACTTTTTTCTCAGAACAAAAAATAATTATATTTTTTTCAAATCCTCACAAAAAAATGTTTTATGTGGCCCTAATCCTCTTCCGTAAGAATGCGTAGTTTATATGTTAGTATTTCTAAAAATCTCCTGGGGGAGAATCCCCCCAGACCCCCCTTCTGGGGTTGGGTTGTCAGCGTGTGCCTTTTTATGTTATACAATTCAGCTGTGATTCCATCATCTCATTAAACCTTTTTTAAAAGCATACTTTAGTTCTGTGAAGGAATATAATATATATATATAACAAAGTCATATAAACAACACAAAACAGACAGGTAACAAGTTAACCCTGCAATATTGCTGAGGTTAAAATGAATTATGAAATGGAAGTCCATGAAAACCCTGATTTGCCTTCCAGTACATGAGACATAAAATAGCAGAACCTTGATCACAAAAGTGGGAGTTGCAATTAAAAACCAAGGCTTTCAAAAAGTGGTCCACAAACTTTCACTTCCTATCTATGATGGATAAAAGTGGATATTCTGGATTAACCTCAGTGTCACTATGTCACACTGATATTCACAAGTACACTGTGGAGTCCACCCAGCCCAGCCAGAACCCCGGGTACACAGGCTCAGTAAAGGTGGTGTAGAAGTTGTGGATGAGGGTCATTGCCCCACAGGAGATCCTGAAGAAAGTCAGTCTCCCTGCAGACCAGTCCAGATAGACTCCCACTTTGTTGGAGTTGGAATTGTAGCTGGGTGGGATGGTTAAATTAATCTTCATGTGTGCGGGCCAGATCTGGTAGCGCTCTTTGGTGCAAAAAAGACCCCAGGAAGAGTCGTTTTTGCCTAACCAGCATTCGTGACCTTCTCCCTTCCTGCACATGGTTCTGTAGGCGACTCCTATGAAGGCTCTCCCTGTCCACTCGGTCTCCCAGTAGCAGCGCCCCATCAGCCCCTCCCTGCACAGCACCTGGGTCCAGAAGTCAAACCTCTCGGGATGATCAGGATACGACTGCTTGGTCCAACGCGTGGCTTTCCTGTTTCCCTCGGACAGAGAGAGGTCTCTGTGTGCTGTGTTCGGGTCTAGGGTGAGGTCCTTGGTGTCTGATGAAACAGATCGAGAGTGATAATCAAGTTGTATTTATTTATTTGATGTATTCGATAATTGACTCAAAGAATGTCAATCAATGCCGAGTGAGTGAGTGTTGGTTACTCACATTTCATTGGACCTGGCTGAATCCTGGATTCACCACACTGTTCCACACTAAAAGACAACAGAAGACCAGTTTTCTGACACGTACGTCACTTGAAAACAATATGGTTAAAACAGTAATTGACCAATTCAACATTTTACTCTTATTCTACTCCCAATTATTTTGTTTGTCTGCAAAGGATCAGAATCAATGCAGCAGAGATTTTTCAAGAGAGAGATTTCAACTCAGTGTTTTTCCTCCATAACCAATAATGCAGAAAAAGGCTTTATAAATATTTTACATAAAGTGATACATATTAAAATTATAAAGTAGAATATTTAAAAGTAGTATCCAAAGTATGAATTTGAAATCATCTCAACCATATTTTAGTATTGCAATGTATTGAATGGTTAAAACGTAACTCAGATAAAACCTTAATAACTCAATGTAATGTTGTCAAATCAAAACAGTAACAGTTTGCACTTTGTTGTAAGGTTGTGTGTGTGTGTGTGTGTGTGTGTGTGTGTGTGTGTGTGTGTGTGTGTGTGTGTGTGTGTGTGTGTGTGTGTGTGTGTGTGTGTGTGTGTGTGTGTGTGTGTGTGTGTGTGTGTGTGTGCGTGCGTGCGTGCGTGTGTGTGTGTGTGTGTGTGTGTGTGTGCGCGTGTGCGTGTGTGTGTGGCGGCTGAGGCGGCTGACACTGTGAATAGCGGTAAAGAAATAAGTGCTGCGCTGGCACTAGGCTAAGCTAGCTGGCTAAAGCGAATTAGCCTGTGTCTAGCACATATCAGCATTTTCTTAATGCTTAAGCAAGTTTGACTAATGCCTTCAGGAGAAGGTGTTAAAAGGAAAAGTGAGAGAGGAAGTGCATTTCTGTCAGCAGCACAGAGCTTCTGTCAGTCAGAGGGCGAGGTCAGAGCTGGGCTAGTTACTGTATTCAGAGAATTTACTTAAAATAAATTTCCTTTCTTTGCATTTCTTTTTAAATAACTGTCATGAAGCAGTGTTGAAACCCTTAATCATTGATTGTTTTCAATACATACATTTGAATCTTAATTCATGGTCACAAACATTTGTCATTATATATATATTTTTGAAATAGTAACTCAAATCAACCGTGGGCCCTTTTATGCTCTAACATCCTCTGCACGTGCCGTGCCGTGTACTGATACCAATACATCTGTGATAAGCTACATTTGCTGGCTATTTTATCATCCTCTACCTGAGTTCATGCAGGCTGCAGCGAGGGTCCTCCTTCAGCGCAGACAGCAGCTGCAGGCCCAAGGGTCCCGGATGGTTGTAGCTCAGGTCAAGCTCTTTGAGACGGGACAAGGTCAAAGCAGATGCCAGAAAAGTGCAGCCTTCCTCTGTCACGCTGCACTGGGCCAACCTTCAAAACACCAAGACTTTTAATCCAACTGATCTCCGTTATCAACAACAGTAACAACTGACTTTGCATGTTTGGCTCTGTTTAGTATTCTGCTGTTAAATAATTCATCTGGAATGTCATTTCACTCAAGGCACTCACATGAGTATTTCCAGTTTACAGTGAGGACTCCCCAGTCCTTCAGAGAGCTCTTTGACGCCAATGTCCATGAAGTCATTGTGAGAGAGGTCCAGTTCTTTCAGCTGGTTGGCGTCTGAGCTGATCACAGAGGCCCAAACCCTGGCGCTGCGTTCTGTTAGGTTGCAGCTCTTCAGTCTAAACAAACAGAAAATAACCTGCTTGATAAAACATCTTTATTTGACTTTCTGGGATTTAAAAATATATACTTATTGTTGGGTTTATACCTGAGTTTCTCAAGTTTGCTGTTCTTCAATGTATCAGAAAGCAATAATATTCCATCATCTGTGATGTTGTTGTTGCCTAGGTCCAGCTCTCTGATTTCGGATGAGTGGATGCCAATCTCCAGGATTTTACAACAACCAACCGTAAGATGGCATGCATTTAGACTGCAAGAAGAAAGTGGTATGAGAAAGGGAAGTATAATGTAATCACAAAATGTCTGGGATCTTATGGGGGCACAAGCTTCCCAATTGTAAACAACTGCAATGTGAAACGCCACCTAACATCGTGCACATTTAAAATGCATTACCAATCACTCCATTTGGAATAAGGCGAAGTTATTGATATTTGAGGTCAAAAAGTTGTTAAAAACATGTCCTTTAAGTTGCTACATATTGCTTACTGAGTCCACTGATGAAAGCCCTTGCATTTACAATACATTCCCTCAGAAAATTGGAAGCACACTTACTGGAACACACTTACCCTTCTTCAATGGTGGCAGAAACACAGAAAACACTTCTCTTTTGTATGTTACTACAAGTGACATCTTTCACATTACTCAATTATTCTGTTAATTGCCAAAATCACTCAAGTTTCACATTTCCCATTTCTAAATGGAGTACTCTTGTTATCTTCTACCAAAGGAACCTTTTTGTTACCTATTATGTATTGATTGCACCGAGGCAAATATCTTGCTTGAGCTGCCAAGCAGTGTTTTTTTCCCCACATCCTGCAGTTCGTCTCAAGTATATCCGGCCTTACCCGACCACACAGTCATGGGCTAGTGTTTACTTTTCGAAAGTTTCCTAGATCGCATGTTCTTCATTTCTAAAATAATCCGAGCACTAAAGCTGCGTATCTTTAACATCAGGTTCAAAAAGG